TTTTCGCCCCCCCCCCCCCCGGTCCATTCACCAATCACAACCTGTAGTGCTTGAAGTCTTTATGACATCAACTGTACACAAAACAATCAAGAGACTCTGGCCATTTTACCAGGGCCTCCCGATGAACTCTGGTGAATCAAAACAGATATGAGTAACAGAACGAAAAAAAAAAACAACAGTTTTGTTTCAATGATTATTGTTGAGATTGTGAATTGAACAGCATGGCTACATAAAAAGGTTTTAAGTGAATCAGAATTAGTTAATTTTGTCAGCCATTTTTAATTTAAGGCCTTTCCACACTGAGTGCTAGTGTTGTCAAAAGACCCGGTATTTCGGTACCAAAAAAATGAAATTTTGTTTTTCATGTCCGCGGGTTGAAAAACGACCCCATTAACGTGATATTTAGCCCCTGGAATGCGAATTTCACCAGGGGAACCCCGCCAAAACATGCGTATTTTATCGTCGGAACGCGATTGGGCGGGTTTTGTTGTGAAAACCTGGCAACCTCTTCATAAAAGCAGTGGCAACCTCAAGAGGAGGAAACGCATCAAACTAACAAAACACCCCGATCAAGTTCAAGCAGGTAAGTTTCAATTATATTTTTAATATTGACAGACTGTAAATGTAAGATGCCCTCATGCAGTGTCCGCACTAATGAATCAAGCAAAAGTCACTTCTGTCACCTCCTCTCGTTGGGGAAATTGGTTAACAACCCTCACAGCCCCGAACATTGTTTTACAGCGTGCGCCAGTCACAAACCCATCCTCATGTATGATGTCTGCAATGACTGAAGTTGTGTTAGAGGATGAAGGTGAAATGACTCACGATTGTGTTACGCTCACATACGCAGCTACGAGTGAAATAACAGAAACTCCCATAGAGAATGCAGAATTTGAGTTGTTTGTTGATGGTTCAGCTCAAGTCATTGAGGGTAACAGACGAGCAGGTTATGCAGTAACTTCCACCACTGAAGTTGTAGCTTCGGGCCGTCTTCCAGATCATTTTTCAGCTCAAGCTGCAGAACTAGTAGCCTTAACTAGAGCATGCACGCTAGCTTCAGGATCGGTTGCAAATATCTACACTGATTCCAGGTATGCTTTTGGGGTAATTCATGATTTTGGTGTCATTTGGCAAAGTAGACAGTTTCTAACTTCTGCTGGATCCCCCATTAAGCATGCTGGATTAGTGAAAGATTTAATGTTTTCCATGAAACTTCCAAAGAAATTAGCGGTGATCAAAGTGAAAGCACATCTCACAACTAATACTATGGAAGCTAAAGGTAATGCTCTTGCTGATGTAGCTGCTAAACAGGCTTGTTCCTATGCAACTGTACAAGTGTGTTCAGGTAGTACAGCACAGAAGACAATTCTGCCTCCTGAATCAATTATTGATCTGTACAAAGACGTTCCTCTATATGAAGCATGGACATGGTTAGACAAAGGAGCCACAGTGGATTCATCTCGCTGCTGGACCAAAGAGGGGAAGTATGTCGCTCCCGAATCACTGCTGCCATATTTTAAATGAACTGTGTAACCAAAATATGCGTGTTAGAGAATGTACAAATGTATGGTTATCAGTCCGTCAGAGAAATTTTTTATTTTTATTTTTTAGTTAGTTAGTTGTAATTCTTGGCTGAATATCTAGCAGGTTTTAAAAGCCCTTTAAAATTAAATCTGAAAACAGTTTGGATTAAATAAAAGTTCAGTCACATTGGTACCGAATACTGAAATTTTGGTACCGTGACAACACTACTGAGCGCGATGCGAAAAAACGAGGCGAATCGCCGACGAACGCGAAACGATTGTTCGCCTTCTGCTAATTCACGCTAGGTGGCGCCGACCAACAATGCATCTCGTAAATGGATTTAACATCGTCCGCTGCTCAATATACAGCATTAAATTAAGATAAACAAGGTTCTACACCAGAAACAAACTGTGTTATTATACTTAATAAAGCTATACTTTAAAATGTATGTAAATTAATTATTAATGTATTAATAAATTAATGTATTTGTTTACCCACTTTAACCATCATTGAGAGCTTGTAATAACTTCCGATTGTGATCTATAGTTGATTTTGATTAATAAGCAGACACATGCACTCTTTGTATGCTTAATAACGCTACACTGCTAATATTTGTTATAAACATCCTTTATTGCTATAAAAATACCATGAGCTGCATACCAAACAGAAAATATATCATATGTGTATTTGCTTTCATATTTTATGTGTAGAAAGAGAGTGAATGCGCTCTGACTCATAACACTTGCGCACGTGGAAGAAAACGGACGGTGCTCTACAGATCACATGATTCAGTGGACAATTAATAGAAATGTTATTCTGCATAAAGCATGTGTGAAATCTGTTCTCAAATACCAACGATAACAAGAACTCCACATCCACTCTCTTCTCTTATCTGGAATACTCTTCTTCTGTGTTTGTTTACACTGGTTTTTGAAACAGCGCCACCACTCTTGCTAAAATCTTATTGGACGGCCCGTGTTTTCACTTTGCGAAACTGAAAAGATTCGTCGGTCTGGTTCGAAGAAAAACATTCGCATTTTCGGTGCGCAAATGTTCGCGGTCTATGTGGAAAATCGGGATGGTTCGAAAAAAAAAAAAAAAAACATTTGCATTTTCGGTGCGCGAATGTTCGTGGTCTATGTGGAAGCATCCATAGATATCTATTGTTTTATTCCAGCGCGTCATCGCGTCCGATATTGGTTTAAGCTTTTTCGCGCTCAGTGTGGAAAGGCCTTTTAGTCTTAGTCTTAGTTCTGGTGTCAAATGTTCTTTTTAGTTAGTCAACCTTGTCCTGTTTTTGTTTAGTCAAGTTTTAGTCGAATACAAAACATTGTCGGTGCTTCCGCAATGAAGAGCGAGCGCGTGCGCATGGTTGCCAGATTGTAAAAAATAAGCAAAACTCCGGAAAGAAAATAACGGAAGCTCTGATTTGCGGATTTGAACTCTTGATATCTGGCAACCGAAAGCTTGTGTAGTAGTGGCGTGTACAGCACTCCGCAATAATATTTTATCTCCCTTTTTTTCGACAAAAAATAAAAGAAATTTTGGTAGTTTTTATTTTTTTAAATACATTTTAGTCTCGTCTTTTTTCATCAATGATATTGCATGTTGATATAGTCACAGTTATCGTTTATTGACCTTATTGTCGTCTCGTCTTAGTCATGGGAAAAAAGCTTGTCAAACATTTTTCGTCATACTTTTCATTAACGAAATTAACAATAATCAGAATGAGAGAAAAACATGCATACCTCCAAATGAGATGGTGCCGCATCTCTGCTTAGATTTCAGTGGTATCCATTTGTAAATGCTGTAGCAATCAAAGGACCCTGAAAGCATATCATGTGTAAGATGTTGAGCAGAATAATTGAAGCTGTATGAAAGCAGTGATTCTAACACACTGACAGATTCAGACAGAATAATTTACATATTTCTCTTTTATGGACAGTCTGAAATTCATTCTTCTCATGTACAGAATCAAGAACTCCACTTTAAGAGAACATTTATTCACAAATGATACTGATAAAAGTGGCAAAGAATCTGCTCTCTGCCGGTCATTGAGAGCAGACCTGCTCATGAAAAAGCATGGCTAGTTGGGCAGCAGCAGATGTTTTGGATGCTGGTTTGTCCCTGGCAGGTTTCTTAATTAGTCTAACCAGAACACCACTGTGGAGGGTTCCCAAAAATATCAACCAATGAATCTGTCATTTAGAAGAATTTCTTTTCCAAATTGAATTTTAAAAATGACTGTATTGGGACTAACAGGACCTTCTAATATATGTGATGGTATAGAGCCCTTTCTCATTCAGGAAATTTGGTCTTTAGGCCCCATACTGCCAAACATCACCATGTATTTTCAGATGTTTGCTTCTTCTGTTTTAAAAGTGCTATTTCATTTATTCTGCTACAATCCACATCAGAGTACCTAGGAGACCTCCAAGCATAAAGAAAATACAAGTAGAAAAGTATTTGTCCTGATTCTTCTTCCATGGAGCTGATCAGTCCTGAATAAATAAATCCTGCCCATTGTCAGACTACGTTTGTGAACTTACAAACCCACACGGCTGATTTAGAGGGCAAAACGGCAACCTGTCAACAAGCCTTTCTGAGAAACACAGCTGCTTATCAGGCCTGTCATCAGACTATTGTGTGCATGGCAGGAGCGGATCTGACTAATCCATACGAATAAATCAAAGTCAGTCTCACACCCGCTGCTTTAGAGGGCAGGAAGGAAAGGCTTTCTTAAGTTTATATTGGCTTTTCTGCCAGGTTCACTGTAGTGATAGAAATTAATCTTTTCCAATAAGTTTTAATGATTTTTACCTTTTATGGGCATTTTTACCTTTATAAAGCCATTTTTTCTAAAAGTGTGCATCATCTTTTCAGTCAAATTCTTAAATTGAATCAGTCAATTAGAATAATAAGTCATTTGGGCTGTTACCAAGCAAATTAAATCAGTATTGACAAAATCTGCAATGCCGAGAAAACAGAAGCTGCATTAGAAGGGGCATTTAGATGCATTTACACACTGTTTAATGCAGGGCATGAATGTATTTAACCTGCAGTTAAACTCCAAAATCGCGTTAAAAATGTTTATGCTTCATTTACATAGCCTTCCTTATATAGTATCAGCCCATATATGGGTTCATTTGAAAGCTTGGAGTGTCTTCTTTACAAAGAATACCATACCTTTTGGTTTTTATATTCATAAAGCAGTAAAATTAAGCTTAGAAATGTATTCGTCCCACACACGAATTTCCGCCTAACCATTGCGAATAATTTTTACGAAGAATGTGTATTTTATATATTTTTCACAAAAAAGTCAAGTCATATATCACAAGAAAGCTCTCATTCTCAGGAATTTGACGATGTAGATTATTTCATTGTGTGACAATCACAGATCAAATGATCTTCAATAGAATTGCGATGTAAAATTTTGTCACCTCTGAGCGAATTTACATTTATACTCGTAGCACTGCTTCAGTCAGCCGCAAACAGCCACACATATCTATATACTATATATGATCTTTTAGATTAGGATCTCTTCTTTCAAACAAGACCATTTTCACGTTTCTGCGTGCTTCCATCAGTGAGATATGTCCAGGTTGCGCAATAGACGCGCATCTGCCAAAGACGCGCTCTCAGCCAGCGTGTCTGATGTTATAGAGATCTGTGTTCGGTTGAGGACTGCAATTGGTCAGATTACATGTCTCTCAACTCAGCGGCCATCACACGCGGCTCGGATTATATCAATCTATGATAATCATATTACAAGTTATATATGGTGAAGAACATTCAGCGGCGCCGTGGAGAGGAATGAACACGCGTCTGGTGAGGCTTTATGAGCGTGTTTGCGCCGTTTTTTATATTTGAATCTTTGTTTTTAAACGTAAAAGCACAGCTAGCAATCTGATACACTGTTTATTGACAGAAAAGTAGGCTACAGTACATTATGCATTTCAGTAAATATACATGGATTATTACAGTGCTGTGTGGATGAACTGATGTGTTTGTTTGACGCTCTGAATGTTAGAGAGTTGTGTTTTATAAAGTCTGTTTTTGCAAAGGAAACTCACAATGACACATTTAGTTCACAAATAATGTAGTAACTCCTGTTTAGAAGCTGTTATTTGAAAGATTCTTTTTTCTGGCACTTTTTGGCATCTAGTGGCATCAAACAAAGTAAATTGCAGAGAGCTGGACCTAATAGAACCTGAATTACAGAATTTCAAATAATTTGTTTTAAAACTCCAAAAGCGCCTATGTTTTTTTGTGTTTATTGTAATATTTGAAACATATATAATGTTATTTATAAAGAATTACAGTCATATTTTGTAGCTCAAAGGGTTTTCTTTACAGTGAAACCATTTTTTTTTTCATTTCCTCCATTGTATGTGTGTAGGGTAAACATTTGAATTTGAGTATGTTAAATTTAGGCGAAAATACCAAAAAACGCCCTGAGTGTAAGTGGTAATACTGTTTTGATATTTTAAACATAAAACATTGAATACTGATATTTTAAATTATTAAAAAAAAAAATTAAAAGATACTGTGAAATTATGTGTGAAAATAAAACTGTCAGTAGGTGGCAGCAAGTCCCTGTTAATAAGTGAGTCATTTCGATTGAACCGAATCATTTAAACGGTTGATTCATTCAGGAACAAAACTGTCATGTTGCTCAGAGACGCAAATTGGAATTATATCTGTCGGCGAAATAGAGCAAAAACAGTCAATATTGTATCTAAAACGTAAGTGTCTTATTAAATTCTTGTTTATTGAACTGCTTTTTGGTGGAAAACTTCGAATGATACTGATTAACTATATGAAATTATATAAATATATACATTTCTGCCCCCATATCTTGAATTTTGTGATCATTCTAAATGCATTTTAATAAACTGAATCATGCAGTGAAAGAATGCGCAAACTTTAGCTAACTTACATGGTAGCTCTCATGAGTCATAGATGTTAGCAAGACAAATTAACTATAATTGCCTTTTGGATAATTAGCTGTAAATTCGAGGCACTGGTAGCTTAGTCTTTTGTTCATCACCACTCACCTCCACAGCAAGAAAAGCACAACTGGAAAGGGAGGGAGGCTCTCTGTCTGTGACTGTGATGTGCTGATGTGTGCTACACTGCTGTGCTGCGCGGAGACGCGGAGGGGAGAAACTAAAGTCTCAACATTTCCCGACCTGACCTGATATTTTTATTTTTATTTGTTTGACAGGGAAAGCTGTGCGCAAACAGAAACACGCACGCTCACATATATACATAAATTCGTTTAAAAAAAAAAAAAAAACACTCCCCAGAAAAAAGGGCACTTTCTCTCGAGGAAGAAAACATCTCTTTGATGTCTATGTGTACACTAGGGGTGGGAATCACCAGAGGCCTCACGATACGATATTGTCACGATACAATATTATTGCGATTTTAAATATATTGCGATATATTGCAATTTATTACCTTTTTCCAACTTCAAATTATGTCCCCAAAGGAAAACTTTGACAACATCTGTTTTAACTAAAAAGAAACATTTCTCAGTTTGTTTATCTCACTTCAGTTTTATTGCTGCAGTGCAAAATGCGATTGTCAAGCAGACAAACTGACCAACACTTTCATGAAAACCTGTCATAAATGTTGTATGCACCTGGCAAACTCAACTATTTGTATTACAGTCTAATCTAGTCAACCTTAATTAAATGTAACTGCTGTGCTACTACAGGTATTTTGAACAGTGCAACTTGAAATTGTACTAAAAAGTTGTGCAGACCCTTCAGCAATTGGGGCATTTGAAAGTAAATTAC